GGGGGGGGGGTTGATACATCCCCGGGAGAAAAGTGGCGGTGGATCGTTTCATCGGGAACGGGCAAAGGCAAAATATGCATAATTAGCGAGATTTAAATAACGAAGCAAGAAAATATATCCTATAGAAAGATAGGAAGAGAGAAAGAAAAGGGAGAAGGAAGCGGAAGAGACAACGATCGAAAGAGGAAGAGACGAAAAGGTGGCTTTTAACGAGGACGAAAGAAACGAGACCGAAGAAAGAGCCAGCTTTTTCCATCGTCGTCCGTTGATTTATGTGTGTTAGAATGCACACGATGGATGCTAAATGAAGATCCAACGTACGCCGCGCGCGGGGAAGGAAAAAGCTGTTCATTACGGAATTTCGTGCTTTTTCGTCGTGTTATTAAGCTGCTATTAACGATCGAATATTTTTAACGCAAGCACGTTGCTTGGAGAATTTTCGAAGGAATTTCGCAGGATAAATCGCGATTGAAATTTTTGTCAGAATTCTTTTTTAGATTGAAATGATTAGAATCCTTGTTTTAAGAGAGGATCAGATACTGATGAAAGAAACTTTGATCAGTACTTTGAACTTATAACAGATATTCTATATTCGAATCGAAGTATACTTTCCAAGACCTCTGTACTCGTTCTTGTTAGTCGAGACTCTCTTGTTTCTATTTATTTCGTCTGAATTTAAAGACAAGTTAAATAATTTGGAAAAGTGCCGGAATCGTAATATTTATTAAAACAAAAGACCTACAGGAGCGATACGAAACGTTCCGAAGTAGAATATTTAGATGTCTAAATTTCGAAAGGGGAAGAAATCTCCAATAGGGATTTCCATTTCAAAACAATCGAACTGTTAATAATATTCTATTTCGAATTGGTGTCTAGCTTTTAAGAGCTTTCTACGCGGAACAGAGTGACAGCTTAGTAGGTTACAAGTCGTTTGCAAAATGCAATCTTTCCGCACGTCTACGAATATCGGAACGAAGAAACGTTTCGCAAAGCATTTTATCGTTCGGCTCGGCCAGTAACTCAGCCGATTTGTCAGGGAAAGCCTCGCGTTCGGTCGCACTCATGATACATTTAAAACATCTGAAAAAAAAAAAGAAAAACAATTTCGCCAGAACGTAACAAAACCATTATGCGACTCCGTGAAACAAAGAACGAAAGAACACGAATAAAACAAACACACGGACACAATGGACCACACGCCGCTCGTTATATCAGTGCTCGCAACCTTCGGGAAAGAGAAAAATGGTTATCCATCTACGGATGAAAAAAAGGAGAGAAGAAAAAATTTCAAAAAAAAAAAAAACAGAAAACAAAGGAAAACAAAAGCTTTCGGAGCGACGGACAACACACAGTGTGTAAGTAATAAAGTTGAAATTCGCTGATACCGTTAAAATGAACGATATCCCACGACGGGTGTATCGAACGATACAACCTAACGATATTTCTTTCGCGTTGTACAATGTTTTTCGTTCACCGTCGACGAGCTTTTACCGACACGTGACGCGACCATTGCGCATTACTCTCGGTTAGCGAGCGGCGCAAGGATAGACGCAAATGCACCGCGACAGTAAACGTAAAAGCGATGATTCTGTACTAGCCGGCCGGTCGAATTAGAACTGAATTTCACTTTTGTGAAATTTCTGACATTTCTGACTGTAACACCTACGCGTACGCTTGCTGCGTTAAATTGTTTCAATTATTATAAAATGCTTCGCGCAATTACAGCGGCTCGCTCCAAGTACTTTCTCTCGAAGAGAGGAACTCAACATTCGAGTGAATTAAAGTAGCGTCTTTAGTACCAG